CCAAGATTTATGGCCAAAAGTAACTAATATTTATATACTATGGTCCGACCAGAGGGCTTAGTACGAGTTTGTGTGTTTCTAAAAAACTCATACTGAGGCCTCAGTATTATACATCCACGATACGTGTATGACATTCCTTCGATAACTTTGTAAAGGAATGGTGGTGGTGTTTGCACCTGCTGCTATCACCACTGAGGTGAAATCAGTGGAGATGCACCACGAGGCTCTGCAGGAAGCCATGCCAGGAGACAACGTGGGATTCAATGTTAAGGTATTCGTAACGCGCCATTCGTAAGAACTATAGAAGAGAAGGAAATAAAAATAGGAAGAAAAAAATAGGTTCTACTTCAGGATAGTTAAGAGTTCAATTCTTTATTATCCCATTTTGCCTGATATAGTGAGTGATACGTTTAAAATGGTTGCAGAACGTGTCTGTGAAGGAGCTGCGTCGCGGCTATGTCGCTGGTGATTCCAAGAACGCCCCTCCGAAAGGTGCTTCTGACTTTACGGCTCAGGTAATTATTATTTGTTTATTTACTTCAAATCCTATTAACATACACTTGAATTTTATATTAATTAAATATGTACTTGTAATACAGAGCACACAGTTGCTGGTCGATAATGAGAAGCCTACTTATAGCAATAGGTACAGAGCCAACAGTCCTACCAGTGCATTCTAAACAGTGGCGTAGCGTGCCTTTGGGCCCCGTATAAAAATTTGTTTAGGGGCCCTTGAACGATAAACATTTCACACAATAGATTTTTTTACATAAAATACTTATAATTTGTGTGAAAACCGAAAATCTTAATAACTTTTATTTTTCTTAAGTTTTTGCCAACCTTTGAACGCATTACCTTTTGCGATTACAGAAATAAAATAAAAATTGGGAAGTTTTTATTAATTTTTGCTTAGGCACGTTGGGGGCCCCTGTAGTCCGGGGGCCCCGTATAATTTAAACGACAGATACTGCGCTAGCTACGCCCCTGATTCTAAATACTTAACTAAATGCCCTCCTCTTTGTAACTTAGTTTAAAGTTGTGGTTACAATAATAACATGTCCCCTAATTTCCTGTCGCAGTGTTGCCTATCAAACTTTATATAATGAATGTTATCGGTTGACCTTGTGCTTACTATATTGAGTACATTGTACTAACATGGTTTGTAGTTGTTTCAATTGTTGAATGCTGGCACATGTTGCGAAATTTACAATCACACTACTACTCTGTTACCTACTCTAGTTTCATCAGCACACAATTCGCGAATCGAACCGAAAGGGAATCGAACCTGCTGCACGTTGGGCGGCCTGTAATCGCACAACGTGTAGCAGGTGTATGTCTGTTGTAGAAATTGTCGGTCCTTCGGGCCCCCTGAGGATGGCTTTATTATGGCAAAGACGGTTACGAATGTCGACGAAAACAGGTTGGCTCCAATTATTAAGTCAGGTTTCAACTCCCAAAAATGGGAAGTGAATTCGCATTATTACATCTTAAATTTTATTGTCATGTTAATTTATCAATTTTTAAGCAAATGTTTGTCACATTAATTTACCAAGTTGTGTGAATGGTCCAGGTGATCGTGCTGAACCACCCAGGTCAGATAAGTAACGGCTACACGCCTGTGCTGGACTGCCACACGGCGCACATCGCTTGCAAATTCGCCGAGATCAAGGAAAAGTGCGACCGCCGTACTGGTACATAATACAATGCTCAAGTTAATCACAATCTAGCATGGTCAGCTCCTTTACTACAGCCGAAACTCATTCACAGGTAAAACTACGGAGGTGGACCCGAAGTCGATAAAGTCGGGTGATGCAGCCATAGTGACTCTGGTTCCGACTAAAGCGCTGTGTGTAGAGTCGTTCCAAGAGTTCCCGCCGTTGGGCCGTTTTGCTGTGCGTGATATGCGTCAGACCGTCGCCGTAGGAGTTATCAAGGTATTGTATTTCATCAGTAAAAATGTTACATACTGCTACAAAGCTTTACCTACTTTGAAAATTAGTAAACGGTTTTTCTTTCTTTCTAACTTAAAAAATGACACATGTAATATTTTAGAACTACTTTCCACTATAAAATTAATAAAATTATTATTTGTTCTAGAGCGTAACCTTCAAGGAAGTCACAACAGGCAAAATTACCAAGGCTGCCGAGAAGGCCCAGAAGAAAAAATAACTATGGGGCATCCTAAACAACGTAGTGCAACCGGCAACCACCGCGCGCGAGCCGTACGCGGTCGCGGACGATGGTTGCGGAGAGCGCATTACTGCCCGCTACCCGTTGTCGCTGTTGAGTCCTAGCCGTGTACGACCCCCCCTAGTGTCTCCCCGCAATCGGAGCTTCTTCACTGGTGTCATCACGCTCGTCCTCTACGTATGCATTTATCATAGCACGATATTATTAAAGTTAGTTCGTTTTAGTTACGCTTACATGTTAAGTTTATATCTTTATGATTATTTTAGTCGTAAGTTACTCGCCAAGTTTGAGTTTCCGTATCTGAAAGCTCGTTACGTTTTATTTTTCCATCGCAAGGAGTTTAGGAGGAAAAGCAATGCATTGGTTATTTGCCCATGCACAGAATACTCTGACTGCTTCGTGAGTATCATCATCCTGGTACTCCCGTCGATTAATACTTCTTGATCATTCTGTTATTGTAATTTCGTTTCATAATAAAATGACATTTATCCACTCGTTAATTCTAAAATTACTTAATGTTTTCATCTTTTCGTAATAAAATTGTTCTGATTTGTATTAATGAATAAAATTCATTGTATCTGTTTATTAAGACATCTAGATACGTACCTATATGTATTGTGTAAGTATAATCGTATCTGCTTGTTTCACATTATTACGGTCGAAGATTTGTAAAGTTAACATCAGCGTAGTTATTGAGGGAATTTGATTGTAAATCATTCCTCCGTAGTTAGCAGTATGACTAAAGCGTTAAAAACGTAATGATAGAAAATTTGAAAACTTTGTAAGGCGTAGGTAACGAATTTCGGTTCTTGGTATTTAAATAGAATGAGTTAATTGTGACTTCAGAGGGTTTAAATATTCAATATTTTAATGAACCCTATTCAATATTATGTAATCTCCTTATCTCTCTACTGTTTAGATATCCTTAAATACGGAAAACAAACTCGACTCATTTTAAGCTAAATGTAACTTTGTAATTTTTTCAATAATTTTGTAAAGACCTTGATCCTGATAAAACCAATAAAGAAGCTACTGGTATTACCTGTTTTTATTTTGCGAAATACCTTCACTTAGATGCTTTAAAGGCCTACGCAGACCGTGATGGCGGCATTTTTTTATTTTTCTTTGTAAGAGGGGAAAATCATCGATTGGCTTCTCCCGCCTTGGTGAGGCGGGAGGGAGTGTCAGACTCTTACTGGCTAAAAACCACCCCGTTCCTTCTCCTGCACGTCGAGCCGGAGTCCCGGTAACCCGTTAGGTTCGCCGCGACTCCGAATCGGTATCAGCCGTATTGTGCCACATCCGTGGTGGTCTAATGGCTCTTTGAGGCTCGCTCGGAACGCGACGCGCTGTACGCTCGGGTCTGGATCTGGTTGGCAGTGAGCCACCCATACTTGCCGTCCGCAGGCCCGCGCTTACGGTGGCCGGAGAGCGTCCCGCGGTCCCCGACGCCTGGAGTATCCTTCGCGATGGCTGGGTTGCGAGGAGGCAGCGCTTCGCTGGCTCACGCGTCCCGCCTCCTCCTCGCTCCGCATCATGGCCCACACTAGGCTCAGACGTGAGTGGTCGCCATCGCTGATCACGTCCCTGAGGGCACGGCGGTGCTCAGCCCACGCAGGGCATTCCGCAACAGTGTGTTCCACCGTGTACTGAGGGCGGTGCTCGCAGTAAGAGGCTCAGTATAGTAGTAAGACACCGCTTACCATAACTTACGGTACGATTAGAATTTTATAAGTATTTTGATTTGATTTTTAAATCCCTTTGTAATTTGGGCAGATTTAGGTTAATGCTATATTTTAGAATGACTAATAAAAGGGTAGGAATAAAAGCTCCGACAAGAAAAGAAGAATTGTCCATACTGAAAATATTAAATCTAGGTACTGCCTAAAATACTAACTTTCCCGACTACTATAGATGACTGTTTATTGCTACATTATTAACTTAACCTAACCTAAAACGTCTGTTGTCGCCTTGTCAGTAATTTTGTTGGACGTTCAATATTCTATCGGAAGTTTAGTTTTGTTATTCGAAGATCCACAGATCGTCGGTCATTAATTTGTTTTTCGGAACCATTATTATTTTCCCTAATAAAATTGCGAAACTTACTAAAATATAAAACGAAAAACTACATACCAAAAAATAATAAAATCTTATAATCTAACAGTCTAACATGTTGCTCACATATGCTGTATGCATACTGATAATCCATAAAAACGGTGCTTCTATACAAGAAAAAGGAAATTCTTTGTTTCAATAAAGAAAGAAACATTCTTATGTCTGCATACATACATTAAATTACTTACCTACTATTGGAATCTGAGTTCTACCAATTTTTAACGCATGCTTTACGAGGGACAAAAATAAATTGCTTATTTTGAAATTTGTGATTTCTGAAATAAATTAAAAAAATTGAAGGATTGTTATTAATTTTGCTTACGCACCTGGCACCGGGGTACCATGCGGTCGTTCAGTTACCCGTTGGCTAGATGCTGTTAAAACACCATAACAGTTTCACAAGCCATAAAGACCGCAGAAGACAGGGGACGGAGGAGGATTGTGCATATAGTGACGCGTGTACCAGATTAGACACAACCTCCAGTGATGAAGAGAACGACTAAGATTGCTTACACACGTTGGGTCCCCAACGTGCGTAAGCATAATTGATACGACGGATACAGCGCTAGCTATGCCCCTGTAAAATACAGGACAAACTCAAAATACCCGTATTCAAACTACATGACACGTATGACAATTGACAGCTGACACTGACATTAGTGACATTATTTTTGACATTCCGATTTATGAAGTTTTTGTGGGGTGGTCGAGTTTTCGCCGCTGATTATTTACTTACGTTAGCAGTGAGGTGTTGATAACGAAACACGATGACGTGTGCTTTGCCGTAAGTGAAAGTAACTTATTAGTGGTAGGAGCGATACGCGTAGGCCTTCAATATCTGTTGTGTATTGTAGCAACTGCAGTCTGCCGCGAACCGTGGTTTTGTACGCTCGGGTCCATTATAACGTTCTGCTTCGTTTACGATGTGTGGAATTTTTGCATATATTAATCACCTAACGCCTAAAACTAGGCGAGAAATATTAGAATTGTTAGTTACTGGATTGAAACGATTGGAATACCGTGGGTATGATTCAGCAGGCGTAGCTGTAGATGCCGCTGATCAGAAAGACATAGCTGTCCTTAAACGAAGTGGCAAAGTAGCCGCTCTTGAAGAACTGTTGCAGGAGCACAGCATTGATCTATCAGTAGAAGACTGTGTGGAATCGCACTGCGGCATCGCACACACGAGATGGGCTACTCACGGTGAACCCAGCGCTGTCAACTCTCATCCTCAGAGATCTGGCGAAGACAACGCTTTCGTTGTCATTCATAATGGAATCATCACTAACTACAAGGAAGTTAAAACTTTTCTTGAGAACAAGGGCTACACCTTTGAATCCCAAACTGATACGGAGGCCATTGCCAAGCTGATTCATCACCTGTACAACCAGCACAAAGATTACAGTTTCCAGGAGTTAGTTGAACAGGTAATTCAGCAATTAGAAGGTGCTTTTGCTTTGTGCTTCAAATCTCGTTATTTTCCAAATGAGTGTGTGGCAACCCGCCGTGGTAGCCCTTTGCTTGTGGGAATCAAAACTCGTCGTCGTCTCTCCAGTGACCATGTACCAATTATGTACACAAACAACAAGGCAACCCGTGGTGTGGTGCCCTCTGTTCCCCGAGTAAACAGCCACGCTCACTTCCAACCTGAGGAAGAAAGAGAAGTTGAGTATTTCTTTGCATCAGATGCCTCTGCTGTAATTGAACACACCAACAGAGTGCTTTACTTTGAAGATGATGATGTTGCTCATATCAAAGATGGTGTCCTCAGCATTCACCGTCTCTCTGGCAGCAGCACTGACCCACATCAGAGGGAAATTTTCACTCTGAAGCTTGAACTACAACAAATTATGAAAGGCAACTATGACTACTTCATGCAAAAGGAAATCTTTGAACAACCAGAGTCTATTGTAAACACTATGAGAGGCCGTCTTAACTTTGCTGACAGCACAGTGACCTTAGGAGGCATTAAAGATTACATTCCTGAAATAAAGCGATGCAGACGATTGATGTTAATAGGATGTGGAACTAGCTACCACAGTGCTGTGGCTACTCGGCAGCTCCTAGAAGAGTTAACCGAGCTGCCTGTAATGGTGGAGTTGGCTTCTGACTTCTTAGACAGGAATACACCTGTGTTCCGTGATGATGTTTGCTTTTTCATATCTCAGTCTGGAGAAACTGCAGACACTCTCATGGCTCTTCGATACTGCAAACGTCATGGTGCCCTCATTGTTGGTATAACTAACACTGTGGGAAGTTCCATCTGTCGCGAATCTCATTGCGGAGTGCACATCAACGCGGGCCCTGAAATCGGTGTCGCGTCTACAAAAGCCTACACATCACAGTTTGTATCTTTAGTAATGTTTGCTCTCGTAATCAGCGAAGATCGTATTTCACTGCAAAAAAGACGTGCAGATATAATTGAAGGGCTCCATCAATTGGACACCAAGATTCGACAGGTGCTAGCTTTAGATAATGAAGTGAAGAAACTAGCTGAAGATCTCTACCGTCAACGGTCTCTACTAATCATGGGTCGCGGATACAACTTTGCCACTTGCCTGGAAGGTGCCTTGAAAGTAAAAGAATTGACGTACATGCACAGCGAGGGTATTATGGCCGGCGAACTTAAACACGGCCCGCTGGCATTAATTGACGACTCGATGCCAGTTGTCATGATCGTAATGCGCGACCCGGTATACACAAAATGCATGAATGCACTTCAACAAGTGACTGCCCGTCAAGGCCGTCCAATCCTTATTTGTGAAGAAGGTGATAAAGACACAATGGCATTCGCGTCGAGGTGTCTTCAAATACCTAAAACAGTTGACTGCCTCCAAGGAGTCCTGTCAGTCATCCCTATGCAGCTTCTCGCGTACCATATCGCTGTTTTACGTGACTGCAACGTCGACTGTCCTCGCAATCTCGCTAAATCGGTTACAGTGGAGTAGGTAGCTTCGTACTTTAAAAGCATCTCCGTACAGCTATAGTTGATAGCATTGTATGTATAGTTAAGTCAGAGATGGTTAACTAAGTTGACGAAAAATTATTATTACTCAGTAATGGACCAAAAGAGTGTGGATAATATTGTTGTGAAATAAATTCGACAATACTTTGGTTATACTGAGAGTTTTTGAACGAATGATTGGGATTTTTAAATTAGCTCATCATTATGCATGATTGATGAATTGAAACTCATCAATCAATGTACCATACTAGGCACATAATGTGTAATAGTGCTAGTAATGTTAGGAACTGATTGTAAAGTTATGTTTATAATATATATTTTAATTGCTTTGTTTCCTGATATTTTTTATACATTCCGAAAATTGGAATCGATATTCTAACTAAAGAGTTCCATTGACATTCCATTACTTTGTCAATACGCGCCTAGTTGTTTGGGCCTAGCATTTTAATAGGTATTATGACTTTGCAGACTAGACGGATCAAGGCCATGCCTCTCGCTTGCAAACTTACCATCTGCACATACCGTATCGCCGTATGTTAATAAATTGCAAACAAAATAACGTCTTTTTAGTTTTACGAGGATAAGATCAGCAGTACTTGCCAACTGTACCTACTACTAAGCTGATAATATAATTATTAAACTTTATTATTGAACTAGATGTAACGGACATCCTCAAATGTGTGTCAATATCTATCAACGTTATTACCACATTTTTTTCGTATTTGCTTTTATAGTGAGATTTGATGACGTACTGTTCTTTTTATTTTATAATGTCTACATAGTCATTAAATCTGAGAAAAGAAACGTTACTAATTTAGAACACGGAAATTTTGAATCAGATTCTGGAAAATGTGTAAATAATAAATACCAGTTTACCAATTTGAAGTCTAAGTTTGTTACTTAAAATATAAAATGTATAATGAAATACTGTGTACGATAAGTATTTACTATCTTTATATCAACAAAATTTATTTTCCATGTTTTAAAATTTATTTTTACAGATGTTATGACGTGATAAGTGTATATTTTATCAATAATCTGATAGTCGAGAGTTAAAAAAATATTTCGATCAGATTGTTATATTTCTTTGAATTTTAAAACAAATATATATTTGTAAGGAAATCAACCTGTGGTCTGTAGGTAGCTATAAATAGAGACTCCGAATCGATACCTGTGTCGATACTCAGGCAGATAGGAAGACGAATTTAATTCGTCTACTAATCCTGCGCTTACATCAGTCCAAAGGGTTGGTTATTTTTTTAAACATCACATTCTATTGAGATTTTTAGTATGTACCTATCTATATGTATAATTTGTATATACATTAGAGTTAATATGTGCTAGATTTAGATTATTAATATATGATTCATTTAAATTGATGTACCTATATATAATGAATCTATCGTATTAGAATAAGTTACATATTAAATATAATTATAATTTAATGTGTCAAACAATGTTTGAAATACTCGAGTCAATGATGGTGTGTATTACGTTGTAACTACATCAGTTCAACATTTGTGACGCCGAATTGTATGCCACTTTTACAAAGAATTAGATTCAACCACCATTCATTTCAATTCTAGTTTTCGATTAAGTTTGAAAACAAGGAAATGTGAGATAAGAACGCACTTAATGAATTTGATAACGAGCGATTACACTGACGTTAAATTTTCATAGTCGTATTTCCTTGAAATAGACGAGTATCTGAAAATATAAATGTATTTAATGCTTACCAATGCAGTGTAACTTGGGGGCCTGCACTTCCTTCTGTGTTCTTCTTGTGTTGTACCTTGTTGTTTTTATTTGTTTAACATTATTGCTTATTCGGAATGTAGGTACTATAGTGCTCTCCCTTAAATTATAATTACCTTCATTTTGATAAGTAAAAAAGTGTAAAATATCTTCTTTATTACTATTGTTTATTTTATTTTTTTAATCTAAATTAATTGCTAGTCAAAAATTTTAGAATAGATATTTTTGATATTAAATATATTCAATTTTTAAATCTAGTTGTCTATTTATTTATTTACAAAGTCGTGAACATTAAAAGGATGAAATCCGTCTAAATCGAACGTTAGTTTGTAACGTTTGACTAGTTAACTGTGTTGGCAATCCTTGAGTAGTTTTCTACAGACCGCACAGTAGTACCTACATATATCCACTGTAATGCTATCATAACGCACACTACACAATTATTTATTAATCTGATAGGAGAGTATAGCTAATTGTAGCCACTAATTTTACCCGGTATTATCAGAAACGCAACACTTACTACTTATTATGTTAATTGTGCTTCCTCGCTAAATTACTTAATTCTTAAAATAAGTACCTTTGTAATTTTCTTGACGTGTATATGTATGTGTATCAATTTAGTATTTCTTTGCTGATACTTTTATGTCGAATGTCGCCATTTGTCCACATTCAGACGCAGATAGGATCTGAGTCGTACCATGATCTCTTGATTCTAATTATTCAGCTTTGTGTGAATAGAAATGGAATTTATTCACGATAAATGCTTTTCTTCCTCAAACTGATAAATAACTTTTAAAATGTCATGTTACGATATCAGAATCTATTTCTTACATTGATAATCCTCAATTAAGAATTTTTTTGTTATGTAATTGAATATGAAACTATCAGGATTAACAACAGAGTTTATTTTCAATAACATGTTCATTTACTTTTCTGCAAAATATATGTTCATTCAATATTTCTATGTTGGTTTTATTCCTTCACAGACAGCCAATTAAGGTACAAAAAAATAATGAATAGGAAAACTTGATCTTATTCATTACATTATCAAAACCGACAAAATGCGCTGGACTACCCTACTAACATGAGTACATGACTAACATGAAATAAATAGGTACATTTCCTAAACTATTAAATAATGTATTATTGCCGTGATACATTTAAAATATAAAACTAACATATTTTGTACATAAATATTACCAAACTAGCTACTTCCGCGGGGTTTTACCCGCTCTGCACGGCTCCTATTGGTCGTAGCGTGATGTTTTATAGCCTATAGCGTTCCTCGATAAGTGGATTGTAGAACACATTTTAAATGAAAGAATTTTTGAATTTGAACCAGTAATTCCGGAAATTAGCGCGTTCAAATAAACTCTTCAGCTTTATATATTAAAGTATAAATACCTACATATATAAGATTAAGATCCAAAAGTTATCACTATTATTTGCCTAATACATAGCTAACTGAATAAATAATACCTACCCTTTACTTAACCCCAAAGGAAAAGTAGGTATAGAAAGCGTCATTAGTAGGTAGTACCTACCTTATTTCCCATTCGTGTAGTCATAACTCCCTGTTATTTATTATTGAGAATTTTGGTTGGATATAGAAAATTTTGAGTATCAAATCTGATACCTCTTACTCGACAGTTTGCAAGATTAACTAACTTAGGTAAGACGACTGCACCAAAAAAGCAGAATGAAAATAATTTCTGTCCCTATACAATTTTCCGGTTGTTTGTTTCCGCACTGCATTGTTTGCTAGTGCTAACCTTGTAAAAAGAAAGTTGTACTTCGTATGTATACCTGCAGTTGTTAAGTAGGTACCTAGGTACCTTCTATGTATATTATCTACCCATGTTTGTTACACACGGGGATCATTACAAGATCAAAAGTAGAGCAATAATGATTTGCCTACTTTCGTCCAGTATCCTGAAAAACAGCATAGGTACTACAAAACATGTCGTTTGCTAATAACCAAATTAAGAAAGAAGAAAAAGAGATACCTACCTAATGTAGGTGCCGTAGCCACCTACCTAATAATACCTGTCGCGGAGAACCTAACGGGTCACCGGGGCTCCGGCTCGACGTGCAGGAGAAGGAACGGGGTGGTTTTTAGTCAGTAAGAGTCTGACACTCCCTCTCGCCTCACCCAGGCGGGAGCAGTCAATCGATGATTTTCCCCCCTTAAAAAAACCTAATAGTACCTACCTACTTTCTTTTAGGAGTCGTTTGCTTCCGTTAAAATTTTTTTATCGAATAGGAGGCAAACGAACAGACGGATCACCTGATGGTAAGCGATCAGCGCCGCCCATGGGCAACACCAGAGGAGTCACAGGTGCGTTGCCGGCCTTTTAAAAAGAAATACGCTCTTTTCTTGAAGGCTTGAAGGTTCTTGTTTGTTTCTTGAAATATATATTACTATTATTAATTATCTTTCAATACGTAAGTAGTAAAAAAAAATGTCGTGGTGGCCCGGAGGTTTAAGACGCCCACTTCTCATGCATGAGGGTGCAGGTTCGAAATCTACCAACGGCAAGTACCAATGTGACTTTTTCCGAGTTATATGTACTTTCTAAGATTATTTAGACACCACTGACAAAAGGTGAAGGAAAAACATCGTGAGGAAACCTGGACTTATAATTTCTAATTATAAGTTTGAAATCGCCAACCCGCATTGAGCAAGCGTGGTGATTAACGCTCTAACCTTCTCCGTGTGAGAAGAGGCTTTGCTCAGCAGTGGGCATTTATAGGCTGTTGATGATGATGATGACGTAAGTAGTATTCGATCCCTTAATTCCATATTTAACATTTTAATAGTTTTAATACTGACGTTGTCTGTAAAAGTTTAAAATATTTATATTCTAATGGTCACCGAATATGACCTTCAGACCGATAAACTTGTTAGAGCGAGCGGCTAAAAGCTAAATCTATTTGAATATTTTAAAACAAGTATGTAGATATTAAAAAAGGCGAAGGCGAATAATAAAAATAAAATAAGTGAATAGATATAAGTAATCATAATACCTACCTACTACCTACTTATAGATGTTTCGAGAAAGAAAGATGTCTCACCTCGGAAGACATGATAATATTTCGCAAACTTTCAATTACGAAATCAATAAGATCGACAGATGACATTTTTCCCAACATAATGTTAGTAATGCAATACTGTTAATGCAATATGACATGATGTTAGGGCTCGTACACAAAACTGTGTGCGAGCTTCATCTACGCATCGCAAGAATTTGCGAATTGATTCGCATCGCGCATCAAAATCTTATCTTCCCAAAATCTTCTTTGTTTCTTTTTCCTGTATCTCTTAAGTAATAAGAATAACAAAATTGCACACTTCTTTTTACGATCCATGTCACGGCCTAGTTTTCAATTTAAAATACGTTTAGTACCTTTGACAGCCTTAATCGCACGCCATCGCAACGCAGCAATTCGCATCGTAATTTTTTGCGTTACGAATTCGCATCGCATCGCAGTTTTGTGTACGAGCCCTTACATTGCATTAATATTTAGCTTTGCATCGATTAATGCAGATGCTAAGGCTGATGCTGATGTTAAAACCAGTGCTGATAATGAGTGGTTCAAAGCATTCAAAAGCGGTCGAGATGTCATGGAAGATTTGCCTCGCTGTGGTAGGCCGTCAACGTCTGCAACTGAAGTTAACATCGCAAAAGTGAGGGAAATAGTGACTGAAAATCCCCATTCAACTCTGAGAGAGATAGCCGCCGAACTTTATGTATCTCACGAGTCGATCCGTACCATTTTAACTAACCATTTGGGTATGAAACATGTTGCTGCTCGGCTAGTCCCAAAAGATCTGAATTTTCTCCAAAAACTCAATCGCATGAAAGTCGCTGAGGACATGCTAGAACGAATCAGTTCGGACCCAACATTCATGAAACGCATTGTTACTGGTGACGAGACGTGGGTTTACGCGTTTGACATGCAAACTAGTTAACAAGCTTCGGAGTGGCGCCTTCCAACTGAACCGAAACCGAAAAAACCATGCCAAGTCGATTAAAAGTCAAAGTCATGTTGACTGTTTTCTTTGACTATCGCGGTGTTGTGCACTCTGAATTTTTACCGGAAGGCCTAACAGTAAATAAAGAATATTATTTGAGCGTTATGCGGCGTTTAAGAGAGCAAATTAAGTAACTGCCACTTTCTCGATGTACCTGGTAACCCAAAGAAGTGATATTTCAACCTTGACATTCTACGAATTTCATAGGTATGGCGACGCAGTTTTTTCAATGTTGCCGGTGGGACGGGAGGTTATTTCTAAGATAGTTCTTAATTTAAAATTCAATGCGGAAGGCTTTGGAGTTTGGTAGCAGGGTCAGCCTGAGTTCTTTGCCTGACTTAAATGTAAAATTAATGGGGGAGTCGAATGAGAGGGTTGAAGGGGCGCGAAACCTGGGATTATATATGGATACTCGGATAGTGGTCTTAGGTACGAGAAACACATTGCTGAATCGATCCGTAACTGTTTTTACCGCTTGTCTATTTATCTATATATCTATACAAGATACGACCGTATTTGTCTGAGGAACTGCGGATACAACTTGTAGAATCCCTAGTTTTATCAAAGTTAAATTATACCGATACCGTTTATGCCCCCGTCTACTGTCACGAACTGGGAGGCTCATTCAAAGGGTCCAAAATGCCTGTGCTCGCTTCCGATATGCGGCATCGAAAGTGTGGAATAACCTGCCTCTATCTTTCAGGTCTCTCAACGCCATTGGTACTTTTAGAATACACGTACGTCGATATTTGATGGACGCAGAGAGACAGGAATGGGGATTGTCAACATATCGTTAATATAACTGTGTGGCTGGTAAATGTGTCGACTTCAATGTCACTGGCTCCATCTCGACTGGGCGCCGTAGCTGTGCTCGGTCTCGTGCGTGCTCGATATTACTCACTGGTGCCTGTCAAATTAAATCACATCACATCATATCACATCACAATTGTTCACATTCACATGTGTTCAGTAGTCGCCGGCGTATGACGTAATGTCGCAGTTCTGCCTGCTTGCTATCGCCATCTCAATCCCATGGCATGACTATGCGGTTGCTGGAAAATTGCTATATGTTTAT